TGCCACAGGGGCTGCAGCCTACACCATCGCCAGCGACTCACGGCAGCCCAGCTCCAGGTTGAGCTGTTGTTCAGCATCTTAGCTGTGGAAGGCAGCGTCACTGGCCCTCATATGTGGGATCCGAACCGGGGCCCTCTGGCGTCCCAAGCCAGTTCTTAACAATCGTGCCACTCGGCTGGCCGAAAGCTTTAGCATTCCCTAATTTAATTGATCCTTACATACCACTTTGACACCTTAAATAGTGTCATTAATTATTTCCATTTTATAGAGGTAAAGAGAATTTGTTAAGATTACATAGCTTATTAGGTTACACAGCTAAAAAATGAGGCAAAAATTGAGGTCAGTATTTCCTTTCTGCAGTGAAGAAAATTATTCTAAGTGAAATTCAGTGAAATAAAAGCATTGGGGTAAGATTTGTGATGTCAGATTATCAGTCTTGTAGATATAACTGTTTTGAAAAGTAGAAAGTGAGTACAAATGTAGGGAGTAATATCTAGAAAGCATGTTATATTAGAAGCAAGAACTCTTGAAACCCTGTTAGTTTTAAATTTAAAAACAATCCTTTTATAAGGATACATTTTTTGGAACTGTGACATAATTGTAGACCAAAGAGAAATGTTAGATTTAGTTTGACAACCATTTTAAAGTGAAGTGCTAGCGTTCTGACCATTGATGTGATGTGCTTTGGGTAGGAAGTTGGGGAACATACTGATTGTCTGATGCAGAGTAAGATGAGACTATTAAGTTATGAGACCTTTATAAAAAGTGAAATTAGAACTCAAATCCAATAAAGTGTTCCTTTCAACATTCCCATCCTGAGAGCTGGTAATTGATAGTTATATAGCTCAGAATATACTTAAAATTTTCTTTTTGAATCGCCAGAGATTATAAGGAAGCAGTCTCATTATTTGGTAGTCAGACTTCTTTTCAGATTAAAAAAATGGCATCACAAAGCAAGTTCCTTCCTCTTACTTAACAGACTAAAAATCTGAATGATACCTGTTTTCTAAAATTTGTTATCATTGAAGATATTTAGAAGAATGTACTGTAGGTTCTAAAGATAATTATAAGAAAATAGTCCCCAAAATGTTATGAGATACGTTGTTAAACTTAAGTGATACAGAGCCTTTCAATGTAAAAGGACTCAGCATTTACGACATGTTTGTTGAAGAATCAGACATATTATGTACTTTACTTTGTGATGCCTTTAATTTTTTTTTTTAAGTTCAAGGAGATACAAAAACTATAGTGATTTTTTTGCTTCTCTGTTTACAGAAGTGCATGTAGTTTTTCTCATAATGTGGCACTTCTTCAATGATAGTGAAATTGTTTGAAGGTCATTCCATGGGTGAGAAAGATTTTGTAGATAAAATAATTAAATGATTCCACCAGAAAATAGTACTAAATATGGTTGAGGTCTAACTGGTGAGGCCATTTATATCAGCCTGAAGTCAATTTGCTACAGTGAACATTCGTGTAATTCTTTTATAAAATCTCTCAATTCTTGATTTCTCTTTAGCCAAAGTGGAAGAGCGCCTTCATATGACCAGTCAAACTATGGTCAACAAGATTCTTATGACCAGCAGTCAGGCTATAATCCACAAGGTTCATATGATGAGCAGTCAAATTATGATCAGCAGCATGATTCCTATAATCAAAATCAGTCCTACCATTCACAAAGAGAAAATTACAGCCACCACACACAAGGTAAATGTACTGACCTCTTATTTTTCTTTTTTCCACCTATAGAATTACTTGTATATTGAGTTTTGGATGAAAAAACCCACATAAGGTTTCAACTGTTTTTAAAAATGTGGAGTATGTTCTCCCTCATGGCCATCAAAACTAGTTTACCGTATTAGATATACTTCTGAACTTTTTAGAGACTCCTAAATGGTTGTGCAACTTTTCCATGGACGATTACATGAATTTCCTTTGTTGTCTCAATCAACTGATCATTTGATAAATGCTGCTACTAGTTCTTCTGGTGGTGATGGTATACTTGATTTGGGGAAGTTATGATCCTATATTAGCTTTCTCTAACCTTGTCTAAGAAGGACCAGTTATTTTTTGTTTTTCTATAGCACTTTGTATATACCACTGATATTTAGGAATCTATCTATCCATGCCATGAAAACGAATGCTTCGAGGGCAAAGGTCCTGTCTTACTCATTTTTGTCCCTTCATTGCCTACTGTGGGGCTTGGTTCATAGTAAGTGCTCAATAAATATTTGTTACACAATTGAATGAATAAGTGAATGAATAAAACCAGAAGCTCATTCACTGAATATCTCTCCTTCAGTGAATATATGCTGAATATTTCTCAGTTTGAAAATCCAATTATTCCTTGTCCATGCTTAATTTGCATTTAGATATTTTTAAGGTGAAGAAAGGAATAACTTTTAGATTAAGGTTATGCTTTTCATCTAATTTATTAGGGTTCTGTACCTACTGTACTTTAACTCAAACTATTTCACATCATCAAATCAAATGGTGATGTGATATCCACATCACCATTTTGCTGACTGACTTTAACAGAGTGGAATTTGATACAGATAAAACTCTCAAACACATTTAATTCCAAATGGTTTTATGATGACTTGAATTTGAGTTCTCTGCACATGTGCCATTTTCCAAAGGATGTAATATGTGACCTAAAGAGCGATTTAAGATTATGTTTTGGGAAGCCCGTGTCAGGTTATTTATTTATGTGTATTTTATTTTTTGTAGATGACCGTCGTGATGTGAGTAGGTATGGAGAAGATAGAGGATATGGCGGGTCACAGGGAGGAGGTAGAGGGCGTGGGGGATATGACAAGGATGGAAGAGGTCCTATGACAGGATCAAGGTAAGTTTTTAGGTGTAAATGTCTACATTTCTTCTCTCTCTTTCTTTTCTTTTCTTTTTTTTTTTTTGTTGTAACTTAGCTGGTTTCATTCCAGTATCTAATTTAGTTAAGAGTCTTAAAGAGATTATGTTGTAGAGAAGAGGGCAAAAATTCAAAATTTATATTAAGTCTTATGATGTCACGAAAATTACCTCCGAGTACGCTTATGTTAACAGTTTATGTGGTGTACTTTAAACACCAGTGGAAAAAAGCCCCTTACTATGGTGGTGGTTAAACCACTTAAATATGTTTTTCCTGCCAGAGCTAAAAAGATGACTTTGGGAAATCCAAATGTTTTTTATGTAAAAAATAAAAGGTAAGTTAATTGTAGACTGGAGAGCAGAGAGGCTTTTCCTTAATCTTGAATCCCCTTGGGGAGGGAAAATATTAGGCAATAGCAGAGTATAAAGATGGGGTTGGCAAAGAAAGAATGATTTATGTAACCAAACTATTTGTCCCTCTTAAGTAAATAATTATTGAAATAATCACATACCATTGTCCGTTTTGTGTAGACTAAGTTGTAGGAAGGATTGCCTTTCTAATTTAGCTTTTCTCTATTGCTGGTATTGCCTGGTTTTGGTATTACGGCGTATGTTATGAAAGCTGGTTTTAAAATCACTTGTAAATATATCTGTAAATTTAATACTTTGACCCTAAAGACAAGAATGAAAAAGTAGTTGACATTTATTGTCCTCAATGAGGTTTGCAGATTTTAAATTTGTGTAAAATACACAAGCTTTAAAGATAATTTGTGGTCCTTGGGAACTGAAATTGTCAGTGGCCTGTTAACTAACACTTAATATATCAGTACCAGTTCACTTTCTCCTTAGGGACTGAGTGTCTGTCCCCTGAGGTGACCTGAGAAACACAACCGGTTATATACAACACTGTTATTTCTTCAAGTGAACCAGGAATTTGATCTCACTGACTTGTATTTCTCTATGTTTAGTGTTTCTTGCTTTGATAGTGTGGCAAAACTAAAATCTAAACATAATTTGATAAACTTTTATACGACTTGAACATTAAAAAGTAAAGCCTTTTAGATTAATAGTCAAAGTCAATTTACTGAGGTAAGACAATACATTATATGCCTCTTCATTATCAAAGAGAGCAGTCTGCTGTCATGTGGATATAAATGAACAATGTCAAGTGACATGGTGCTTACCCTCTACCTAATAGCCTTCCTCCTACCTTAAATAGAATCCCAAACAAGATAACCCACAGGTATATCTAATTTTCCAGTTAATATGTTTGGGTAATATGTTCCAGTTAATACGTTTTGGCTGCCTTGGAATGCTATACATTTTATAGTATATCATACATTTAATTTTCTTCATAAGGAAGTTGTTATATCCTTTAGGTGACCTATTTAACTATGACAATGTCTGAATGGTAGAAGGGAAGTCTTTAAAAATATTTTTTCATCTCTGAGATACAGCTCATCTTAGAGTCAGAGAGTTGAAAAGACCTTGAGTGATTTTTCTGATAAAGGAGGGAAGGTCTGTACATTAACCAACCCATTTTTAAGCACTTTTATAACCTCTTATATTTCAGTATAATTTTCCAGTATAATCACGAACTAAGTTTTTGATTTTCGTATCTTTATTTAACCTTAAAACCTCCTCAAACAAAACCTTATGCAGGACCCACTATGTATCAGGTCAAAATGATGCTGATCTGGTTCAAGTCAGGGTAGGAATTGGGGAGGGGTTTTGTCCAGTTGCTGTTTACCCGTGCCCCTCGCCCCCAAGCCAATAAATGGGATGTTCATGAAAGGCCTTTTTTAGAAATCCATATGGATTATGATGATTACTCTCTGTATTGGGAATGGCAAGCTTTTTGTTGAAGGCCACATAGTAAGTAATTGAGGCTTTGTAGGCCACATGGTTTCTGTTGCAACTACTCAACTCTGCCTTTGTAGCAATAAAGCATCCATAGATAGACTATAAGTGAATAAACATGGTTGTGTTCCAATAAAACTTCATTTATGGATAGCAAATTTGAAGTTCATATAATTTTCATGTGTCACAATATCTTGCTCAAGATGTGCTTTTTAGCCTATTTATATAGGGGTAAAGTATTTTGAATTTGAATAAAAATGCCCAGTTTTAGGATTTTTTCACATGTGGTTTTACATTTAATTACCAAAAATACCCAGACATTTTTGGTTAGTCTTCATTAACACTCACATTTGTGTTTTTATTTATCTTACTTAAAAATAGCAAGGTTGAAAATTTGATACTTTTGAGGCTGTAAGAAGAATATCTGGCATTAGTTGGGTTTATATTTGAAAAGGAAGGGGCATAGTTTGTGGGTGAGGGTAGGATGTGTGGGATGGGACATTCTTAGACTCGGGTTGTATGATTGCTTGACTGGAGGAAGAATTCAGACAAAAAGGAAGTTGACAGCTTTCCAAATATGGAAGAAAAACGTGAAGATTATAGGGACTATAGGAAACTATTTTTTTGAAAAAGCAGTTGTAGCAAAAAAGATTGAATTTCTAATTGTCATCTAAAATTGATCACTGACTAGAAGCTTTAAGGCCATAAATTCTGTTTTTTTTTTGTTTGTTTGTTTTTTAAAGATTTTATTGGGGAATTGGAGAGGGCAACAGCGCTGGGGAATCGGGGGAAAGGGAACAGACAAGTAGCTGTCGTTTTGTTCTTCAGTTTAGTTGTGGAGGATGTTGCTTCACTGGCCCATGTTGGTATTATCATTGCGCTCTTCCCGGGGGAGGCAAATCGGTCACCGGCCTCTGGACGGCCGCTCATGCTCATGGAAGCTCTTGGCAGCTTACACCGGCTGCCAGCCGCCCACACTGGCTGCCAGCCACACACGGTAGCTTATGGCAGCCCACTGCGGCAGGGGCTGTAGCCTTTGCTGTCGCCAGCGACTCACGGCAGCCCAGCTCCAGGTCAAGCTGTTGTTCACCATCTTAGCTGTAGAGGGCAGTGTCACTGGCCCCCATGTGAGATCCGAACCGGGGCCCTGCTGCTCAGAGCTGGCATCCCAAGCCAGCTCTTAACCATCGCGCCACTTGGCCGGCCCTGAAATCCATTTTGTATTTTACATTTAGAGTATATCTCAACTTAGACTATCCACATTTCATATGGTCAACAGCCAGCCACATATGGTTAGTGAATATTATATTAGACAATACAGCTCTAGAATGATAGATTCTTGGCCTCCTAAAATGTCAGTAAATGCTGAATCCAGAAAGCCTTTTTACCACACATATAAGACATAGGAGGAGATGAAATAAACACAGCTATTTTTGAGAGTGGTATTTAAATCCATTGAGTCATTTATATTTGGAATTAATGATAGTCTTCACACCCCAAAAACTGTATTCTGATTTACCAGTATGAAAACTCAAGCACAGAACAGTTTTTTAAAAACTAATCCTTTACAGTTTTTAGCCAACTCCCTTTTTCTCTCAAGATACTGAATTTTCTGGGAATAAAGATTCCTGCATTGTCCTTTTATTTCTTGGTAATTTTAGTCCTTGAATAGATATATATATAGATTTTTTAAAATTAAAGATTGGGAATAAAGATTCTGTCAAAGAGCTTTTTCCTTTCTGACTAGCACCTGAAATTAAATTTGACTGTCTTTTCCTCTAAATAATGTTTTAACAGTGAAAGATCCCTCTGAGTCTTACCCTAGGGTGGGCTGCTCATTGTGGTTTTGAAGTTGGAACAGCCATTTCTGTAGTTGAGTCAAGAATATTTAGTTGGTTTTCTATTTTTTTTTTTTTTTTTTAGCTGAGCCATCCTGCCACCTCAACGGCTGCTCAGCTCGGGCTGGGACTCAAACCGCTGTTGCTCAGAGCTCAAACTCTTGAGTGAGCTCTTAACCAACTGAGCCACTCAGCCGGCCCTTAGTTGGTTTTCTTATATAGGGGACACTCAGCCATAAATTTGAGTATGCTTATATTATGTCTCTAATACATATCTCTACTACTTCATCTTTAGGAATTCTTTATGTGTATGATTCGTTTCCTTTTCTGGGAAGAAAAGAAATTTGTTGTGGCAACATCTTGACTCATAGATGTTCATGTTCATGTTTTAATTTGCTTGTGAGGCCTTCGCATATGGAAACGGGAATTGTAACTTGACTTCAGGTTTGAAAGAAAGATTCTTAACCATAGGCGCATAATGAGTACTACTTGAGGTTTATTTACTGTATTTAATATAATAAATTTCCTAATAAGGGTTTATAATGTAATTAATATGAAACTCCCTAATAAGGAAAGTGAAAAATGATTGAAACATTTGAATTTGGAAGAAAGCTTCACATAGAATTATAATTATAGGTCATCTATACCAGTGTTTCTCAAACTTTAATGTACATATGAATTCTTTGGGGGGTCTTATTAAAATGCAATGCTGATTCAACAGGTCTGGGGTGAGGCCCAAGATCATACCTTTCTGAGAAGATCCCAGGCTCTGCTTATGCTGCTATTCCACGAATAGCCCTTTGAGTACCAATTTCCTTTGTGAAGGACTCTGAAGCCTAGGGAGAATTAGTGACTTGTCTAAAATTTTCAAGATTGATTAGTGATAGTTAAGGCTATACCCTGAGTCTCTTAGTTTGAAGACTAGTACTTTTTGCAAATGCACTATGGTGTTTCCATATTTATGGCTATTATGTTGAAAACTTCAGCTGTTGTATTTTCAAAGGAAATGTTCAGTAAAGATGATTTAAGTTAAAATGTCATTAGATGGTGGAATAGGAAATTATAGATGTCTTCAAATATCATTTGTTTTATATCCCTTTTATTTTGCAGTGGTATGTCCTTTTTTTAAAAAAAAAATTGTTCAAAGTTATATTGCTGGCCAGAATAGAAATTGTAGGAATTAGCCGATGTATGAGATTGAATATTTTCCCTCTCTTGTGGCCAGATACACAATTTGATACTTGGTTAAGATGACAGCATAATAATTAAGAGGTAACTCTTCTAGCACTTAACTTGTGAAAATTTCCTATTTAAAAATTTACTTTATCCTGGGGACTTTGACCTTCTGATGTAGGAATGTGGACTAAATATTTTCACTAGTTATTTTCTCATAATTTTTTGGAATTCTTCTGATCATCTTTGAAGAGACCTGAGATATCTTGGTTTCTAATAATAAGATTTTAGCAGTTTAATTTTAAGAACTCTGTTGGCTTCCCTTTTTTAAAGAGTTAACAGTGATATGCAGGTCATTTAGAAGTGTAGGGAGGGCTTGGGTACTGTTCTGAAAGAGAGGTGTCTTAAGAGACTCAGTAGGACTATATATGTAAATGAAGAGTCAGAGCTTTATATTTTCTAGATAGCCTTGAAATAGCCTTATTCTCCATTTTAGGCTTCTTGATAATCAAATAGAATAAATGGCAAATTAAGATGAATGTGTCTATACCTAAACTGGTTGCAAGGGGAAATTATTTTACATTAAGTTAGTAGAATAGACTTATAAAGGAAGAATACTTTCTCATTTAGTCAGAGTGGTTTTTCTCAGGATGGCTCAGAAAAGCCATCTAGAGGGCATGGTTATCACTAAAGGAGAGGCTTTTAAGCAGTGAAGAGACATAGGATTAATTTCTTGGATTATAGTCAAAGAAGATTAGTAGTAGTAGATTGGATATCATCTAAAAACTTGCCATGTTTTTATTTCCATGTCAGCACATGAATCTTAGAGGATTAACATAATTCAGTCAAGAGAAACAATGTATGAATGTTTAAAGAGTTTCTTGATAAGAGAGATCTTAGATTTTTTACATAAAGCTGTGCATGCAAGAACCATTGACCTGTCTGACAGTGGAAATTTGTCAGTCGTTTTCTTGTGGGAAGCTGCAATATTGGAATATGTTACATTCTGTTTCTGATATGGCCTACTGATCAGTGCACAGAACATTTGGCACCATGAAGGTCAGCACTGATGAGAAGAAATCTAGTATATTACAGTGGGTGAAGTAGGAGGGAAATTTTAAGTTATGCTTTTTTAGAGCTCATTTTATCAGCTTTTAGTATGTTTTGAAAATTTAAGACTGCTTTCATTCAGGCTTACTTTCGTGTATATTTGTACCTCACTTTTTTTCTTCATCTCATAAAACCCACTTTGGTATCACAATAGAACCTAGTACTCAAGTTTTCACCTCTCCAATTTTGCTATCAAAATCTTAACCTTGCTTTGTATTGTTCTTCTATTTTTCCTTTTTTTCCATATTTTAAAAAATATCCCGTTGGAAAGAATGCTTTCTCTAGTTTAGCATTCTTCATGCTGAACCTGCAGCTTTAAGATATGATTTGAATAGCATCCTTTTGGCTTGGGGCTGGGAAGATTTTAAAATAAGAGTATATTGTATATGTTCTGTAATACACTTCAAAAGGCACCCTTGTGGATAGATCCTTGGGAAAACACTTAAGTAAAAACATTTTGAAATCAGTAAAATGGAATTTACTGGAAAGTTAGAGGTGCTGTTTTCCTAGGCGCTCTACTTGTGACAGTTAAGTGTAGATTGAGCCCAGGGCTCAGCACATTAGAGACTTAAGGAAGAAATCATTTCTTCAATTTTTCCTCTGCAGTGGTGGTGACCGCGGTGGCTTCAAAAATTTTGGTGGTAAGTGCTGAGTATCCCAAAATGTTTCAGTGGAAATGCTATATAAATCTAAAAGCCACCAATACCCCGCAGACGCAGTTAAGCCCTTGTTTACTCTATTGAGGCTGGTGTGTGTTGTGTGCTTTAAAAAAAAATTTATATATATATATGTATACATGTATATATATCAAAACATTAAAAAGCCAAAGTTGATCTCAAATAATCCAATGGATTGATCTACACAGTGAATTTGCATGAAAGAGTCTGGTGACCAATGAGACCTTCACTGGATTTTGACAATACTTTTTTTTAATAAAGGTAGCTGACATGGTGTTTTTAAATTATTAAGGTTTTCCAATCAGCCTTCACAACCAGAGCTTAAGAAAAGTGATACTAGCATAACGCCAAAGTGGCAGGTGCCGTTTGGGACAAGTTAAGGAAATATTGACATTCATCTTGATTTCTTAAACTTTTAATAAAAATTTATATATTACTTTGTAAATCTGTTATGGTTGATTTTCAAGGATTTTGGAAGTATTAACTTTTCATGCCTTGGTTATTGTTAACTATTTTTTAAAATGATTTCCAATGAGTTGCCTTAAATAGCTTTTTTTTCCTTTTTTTTTTCTTTTCCCTTAGGTCACAGGGATTATGGACCCAGACCAGATGCTGGTAAGGTTTATGGCAGTTTGTAACTTTGCCATTAAGAGAATGTTAGTTTTCCATTTTTCTCAAGGGAAAAGTGTGTGTGTCTGGAGGAATTAGTGCAAGAGGAACATTTAATTTGATAGTACTGTCAGAACTGGGGAACTTTACTTCCAAAGACATACCAGAAAGAAAAATTCAGAGGGATTAATTGGAAAGTTTGCTGGGAAAAAATTGCTGTATTTGTGATTTCCCATGCTCTACTTTTTCTTTGTGAAGAATACTTGATTTTATACTGCTAATTGGCATTATTTAATTACTACAAACCAGATTTGAGAGAATTGGTATTAATGGGGAATTAGAAGTAGAAAAGCTATGTTTAATAAAGAAAATATTACATTAGGTTGGTAGTCTCCTTAGTAGGCCTAAGAAACCTGAATTCATACATGAGAGAGTTGTCTGACTCTGGGTAGAGGTCACTAATTTCATGTGGCTTTTTATTTTTAAATAAAAATTCAAGGCCACATGGAACCTTTTGAAAGTTATGATTTAGAGATTAAAAATCTATTTGAGCCAAAAAATTTTAATATATATTGAAATCAGAACTTTTGTTTTTGTTAAGATGCCAAAGTATTCTAAATGGATGGCAATTTCTGAATTATCCCTTGATGGACTGAATTTTTATACATCTTTATTACTTTGTTGTACTAATCCAAAAGTGTGCGTGTAAGGTAAGGTGTGTGTCAAGGTGCCCCTACCCTCTGGTATATACAAAGCTTGTTGGCAACGAATGGGAAACCAACAGTTCTGCTTGGCTTGCTTGGAAGTCCAAATTGCAGGATTTGGGGATTTTTCTACTAGAGAGCCTTAAAAATATTGTTTAGCCATTAAGAATTAAAGCTCTCCAAAGAAAGGAGTGCTAATTTATAAACTAACTTTCCTTCATCTCTTCATGAGTTTTAGTCCTGTATCTGAATCTAAAGAGTGAGATTTGTAAGATCTCCTAGAATTATCCTTGTATATTTCACATACTATGGACTTGATCCACTTTATCCACTTTAAGTTTAGTTGTAAGAATTGACCATATAACTATTGTGACCACTTTGCATGTTTATATAAGATTTTTCTTATATTGGTCCTTTTTTCTTTTGGTCATGGAAATAGTTGAATATTGGACAATAAATTATTGTTCTTGGTTACTAAGCAGGATGTAATAAAACCTAGGAATATGTAAACTAACCTTATTTTTTTTCCCCTTAGATTCAGAATCTGATAATTCAGATAACAACACAATCTTTGTGCAAGGACTTGGGGAGGGTGTGTCTACAGATCAAGTGGGGGAGTTCTTTAAACAGATAGGAATTATTAAGGTGAGTGAAAAGTATAGCTTATATTGAAAATCTCATAATTATTAACATATTCTGATTAAGATACATAGATTTCGTAATAAAGCCTGTACTCCAGTAAGGCTTGTCTCTTAAAATTCCCTGGTGCACATACTCACCCATGTCTGTAGGCCTTTGCTAAATTTGCTAAGTACATGAATGTTTTTATTCCTTGCTTGTGTTCGCCTTTATACAGCCTTCTGCCAGCTTTAGTTTTCAATCTTAGGGCTCTAAAAATAGTCTCTGCCTAGTTCCTAAAATTGTGAGAAGCAAATGAGATTGTGCAAACTCAAGTTGTTACTAACAACTTTTTGGTATTTCATGTCTGTGATACATATTAGGCCAGTATATAATGCTTTATTTTATAACTTTATTGTTTACTTGTGTCATGTGTGCTATTTGTTTCATGCAAATATTTTTTACTTCTTAAACTAGAAAGCAGCATTTAGAGCAGGGTTAGTAGATTGTAGCATTTGCCTGAAATCAGTTGGCAGTTATCTTTGTTTTGGCATCTGTGGAATTACTCATTTCCCCCCCCCTTCTTGGGAAGCTAAAATTTCTTAAGGATTTAATTACACATGTAATATGTAAAAAAATTCACAGTGCTGATTAAGCAAAAATTCTCCTTTGTCTTCGACTTTCATCCCAGCAAAATCCAGTGTGCTCTCTTTAGTGGTAATATATTGATTTGTTTAGTGAACATTCTTCTTGGCCTTTTTTTGTTTGTTTTACAAGGTATATATTTACATGAAGCATTATTTACATTTATTTTTTTGTGGGTTTAAATAAATTATACGTAGATAAAACAGTATATTTATCATCTTTATACCTTGGTTTTCACTTAATGTGTTTTAGAGTTTTCCTTTTCAGAACCTATAGATAACTTCATTTGTATATTGTACATTAGGTGCATAGTATTTTGTAATATAGATTACATGTGTGAATTCCTTTAAAAAAATAAGTTAGGGCCGGCCGAGTGGCTCAGTTGGTTAAGAGCTTGCTCAAGAGTGTGAGCTCTGAGCAACAGTGGTTTGAGTCCCGGCCCGAGTTGAGCTGCCGCTGAGCTGCCAACAGGTGGCAGGATGGCTCAGCTTTAAAAAAATATAAGTTAGATGGTTCCTGATCACTTTCTTAAAATGCTAATACCAGCTGTTTGTTCCTCAGACAAACAAGAAGACCGGAAAACCAATGATAAATCTGTATACAGACAAGGACACAGGGAAGCCAAAAGGGGAGGCAACAGTGTCGTTTGATGACCCTCCTTCAGCTAAAGCAGCCATTGACTGGTTTGACGGTATATCTCATTCATGTAATTTCAACATGCAATTTGGATAAGAAGTCAAAATACATTCTGGTTGACAGTGGTTATTTTATTTTCATGTTTACTTTTGTAGATACTAAGAATATAGGCCAGAGTTTTTACATACCATTAAAATGAGATGAGCTTTCTCCTTGTTTGTCTAGAATCTTTTCTTATCTCATGCCTTGTGCTTGAGGCCTCCCTGATCTAGATGTAGAAGGCTGGCCTGGTTGACCCTATATTCTTTTTAAATTTAGATTAATTTTCTTTCAAATTCCTTAGAAGAAATAAGGACTTTTTTCCCCCCTGAAAAATAATCAAGTATGGGAAAGTAGAAGAGCAACTGTTGTCCTCTATGCAGAGATAACCACTGATAATATTTTTTATTAACTTTCTTTCTAGACTTTTAAAATGTATTTTATGTATTTATTTTTATTTTTTATTATTTTTTAAAGATTTTATTGGGGAATTGGGGGAGGGAACAGTGTTGGGGAATCAGGGAAGGGGAACAGACAAGTTGCTATCCTTTCTGTTCTTTAATCTAGTTGTGGAGGATGTCGCCTCATTGGCCTATGTTGGTAGTGTGATCATTGTGCTCTTCCTGGCTGAGGCAGATCGGTCGCCGGCCATTGGATGGCTGCTCACGGCAGCCCACTGCAGCCCCGCTGCTGCCTATGCTGTTGGAACTCACGGCAGCCCAGCTCCAGGTCAAGCTGTTGTTCACCATCGTAGCTGTAGAGGGCAGTGTCACTGGCCCGTATGGGATCTGAACCGGTGGCCCTGCTGCTCAGACCTCACGCTTCCAAGCCAACTCTTAACCAATGAGCCACTTGGCTGGCCCTTAAAATGTATTTTAAAAATAGTTTATCATTGGTGCCGGCCGAGTGACTCACTTGGTTTAGAGTTGGCTTAAGAGCACGAGCTCTAAGCAGCAGGGCCGCCGGTTCAATTTCCACACAGGCCAGTGATGCTGCGCCCGAGCTGAGCTGTCGCTGAGCTGCCAACAGGTGACAGGATGGTTCAGCTGGTGTAACAACAAGATTGCCTGTTTGATGGTGGGCTATGCCCACCCGCAACTAAGACTGAACTCAGCACCTTGAGCTGAGCTGCTGCCTAGATGGTTCAGTTGAGAGAGTGTGTGCTCTTAACAACAAGGCTGCTGGTTTGACTTCTGCATGGGATGGTGTCTACGACCACCCACAACTAAGATTGAACACAGCACCTTGAGCTTAGAGGCCACAAGCTGCCGATGGGAAGCCAGATGGCGACTGGCACCCTCCACAATGAAGATTGAAGAACAACTTGGCTGGTCCCCTTCCTCAATTCCCCAACACTATTCCCCTCCCCCAGTTCCCCAATAAATTCTTCAAAAAAAAAAAGTTTATCATTATACTCCAAATGTAGTTTTGTCTCATGTTTTTTTTCACTTAACATTTTAACATAGTCATTTCCCCGTGTTGTTATAAATCTACCTGTATCTTCTAAAACATAATTGCGTTTCTTCTTCAAAGATGAGATTGTGATATGCTGTGTGTCCTTACCTTCACATTCTTTATTTTTTTGTAGTAATCCATCAGTCTCCATCATCTTGCTCTTGAAGAGTAGATCCATTCTTCCTCACTTTTATGCTTTTTTTTATAGTTTCTGTGAATCATAAAGCAATTTCTTTTGCTCATGATACCATGATATGTTAAAAATTATGGTGCCATTTGCCTACAGGGTATATGAGCCTCTTAAACTTATCTCCATGTCTTACCAGGTCTTTTTATAGCTTTTAAAGTATTGATCCATGAGTGGTTTCCTATGTCCAAGTGCATGTCATACCATCTGACGTCATGGAAAGTTGCCAGCCACAATGATTATGGCTCTGGTCAGAGAGCCAGGATTCCTTGATTTATAACCATTTTATGAATCCTTGGGCACCTTTTCATTATATGTCAGTTCTCTTAGTTAATATAAAGTAAAAAGATTAATTCCTATTTCTAAGGCCCGGGGGCAGCAGAATATGTGTATGTGTGCATGTATGTAAGTAATCACATATGCACTCGTTATTTTTAAAGATACTACTTGCATGTGGTAAAAAAATTTCAAACAGTACCAAAAGTATATCATAAAAAATGAATTTTCTTTCCACCTTTGACCCCCAGTGATCTTATTTCCCCTACTGAGAGTTAGGCAAAATAGACTGTATGTACAAGCATATATGTGCATATATAGGTACACGTATACATGCATGTATACGTGTACCTGCACATACACACACACTTACTCCCTTTAAAAAACAAATGGTAGCAAACTACACACATTCTGCACTTGGCTTTTTTTTTTTCCCCCCCCTCCCTCCCTTTTGCACTTGGCTTTTTCCATGTAAAAATATTAGATGTAGGGTTTTCTTGCTTAGTAAGAAGTGACTCAGTGACAGATCGGCTCTATTCAATAGATTATGTCATGTTTTAGCACTGTTACCTTGACTCTTTGGGAACACTAGTGTGTTTAAATTTCTATTGAGTACATGTCAGTTATTCTTCTGAAATTAAAAATGTCCAAGACAGGGCCGGCCGAGTGGCTCAGTTGGTTAAGTGCAGGAGCTCTGAGCAACAGGGTTGCCGGTTCGATTCCCACATGGGCCAGTGAGCTGCGTCCTAACTGAGCTGCTGCTGAGCTGGCAACAGGTGGCAGGATGGCTCAGCTGGTGAGGGCTTGTGCTCCCAACAGCAAGGTTGCCGGTTCACTCACGCATGGGATGGTGGCTATGCCCACCTGCAACTAAGATTGAACATGGCACCTTGAGCTGAGTGGTCATGAGCTGCCCATGGGCAGCCTGATGGCAACTGGACTTGGAGCTGAGCTAGCTGCGCCCTCCACAGCTAAGATTGAAGGACAACAACTTGGCTGTTACCCTTCCCCAATTTCTCAACACTGTTCCTCTTTCCCCTGATAAAATCTTAGAAAAAAAAAATGTCCAAGACAGTTTAACATTTTTATTGAGAAGTGCAGATGTGGAGTAGCATTTCTTCAAAACCATTTTCTTTTTTCTTAGGGAAAGAATTCCATGGCAACATCATTAAAGTGTCTTTTGCCACCAGAAGACCTGAATTTATGAGAGGAGGTGGAAGTGGAGGTGGGCGGCGAGGTAAGATAACTTGTTGCTCACTGGCCTGGATATTGTACAAAGGATTTGGTTTTTGAGTCCATGTTCTGTCCCTATTGTGTGAAATTACTACTACCTCTTTCTCTTCCTAGGTCTTTTTCCTTCTTTGTTAAAGTGAGGGTGGGTACTAAATAGGAGATTAGGTAAATGAGGTGTCATAATATCCAAGAGAGTAGTGGGAGAAGTTTCTGGAAATCTCTTTGGGAAGCTGTATAGCAGATTGTTATTCACCTGGAAATTCACCTGGAAATCAGGAGGCAGTCATTTAAATGATAAATTTAAAACTGATTAGATACTTAATCTGATCAGCTTGTAAATTCTCTGATACAGTTACTTCCAGCTTGTTCATTTCTATTGGGTCTAATTTTTTAAATTTGGAATATGTCTTGTCACTTAAACTTTATCATTGAGATTCTCAAACTAAGGATGGTATTATAGAAAAGTCATTTAGTGAATTATTTGCACTGTAATGTGTGTCTGGAGTCTTTTCCCAGATTTCCTGCATGTACTAAGTAAAGCCTCAAATCAAAGAATCACAGAGGCCTACCATAGGGGTTAATATTTGGAAGTGCTGCCCAGTTATTGATGGATGCTTGCTCTTAGTTCATTAATCTGGCACTTTGTCTCGCTTTGTTAATGTCTGCTGCTGATTTTTCTCCCCTACATCCCCCAGGTCGTGGAGGATATAGAGGCCGTGGAGGCTTTCAGGGTAGAGGTGGAGACCCCAAAAGTGGGGACTGGGTTTGCCCTAATCCGTAAGTATCCCAGTTACTTTGTTGGGATTGAGGTTGGAAGGCACAGGAGGGGTTCTGAATTCATTGAAAACTACTGAGCATTTTGTTTTCTTTCTTTCTCTCTCAGGTCATGTGGAAATATGAACTTTGCTCGAAGGAATTCCTGCAATCAGTGCAATGAGCCCAGGCCTGAGGACTCTCGTCCCTCAGGAGGAGGTAAATCAGCCTTTTAATAGCATCTGCATGGTATTTATCTTCTGACTAGCATTAAAGAGGCTTTATATTATTCTGCTGGCCTCACTGGTTTGCATTTCTATCTTGCAGATTTCCGGGGAAGAGGCTACGGTGGAGAGAGGGGCTACAGAGGTCGTGGGGGCAGAGGTGGAGACCGAGGCGGCTATGGAGGAGACAGAAGTGGGGGTGGTTATGGTGGAGACAGAGGTGGTGGCTATGGTGGGGACCGAGGAGGTGGCTATGGTGGGGACCGAGGAGGCTATGGTGGGGACCGAGGAGGTGGCTATGGTGGGGACCGAGAGGGCTACGGAGGGGACCGAGGAGGCTATGGAGGAAACCGAGGAGGCTACGGTGGGGACCGAGGAGGCTACGGTGGGGACCGAGAGGGCTACGGAGGGGACCGAGGAGGCTACGGAGGAAACCGAGGAGGCTACGGAGGAGACCGAGGAGGCTACGGAGGAGACCGAGGAGGCTATGGAGGAGACCGAGGAGGCTATGGAGGGGACCGAAGTGGGGGGGGCTATGGAGGAGACCGTGGTGGTGGCGGTGGCTATGGTGGAGACCGAAGTGGAGGCTATGACAGGGACAGGAGTGGAGGCTATGGCGGGGACAGGAGTGGTGGCGGCTATGGCGGAGATCGAGGTGGCTATGGAGGCAAAATGGGAGGAAGGTGAGTATTAGAATGTACTTTTTACCTCACTGCTCCTAGATTTTAGGATCTGAGCCCTTTTTATCACATTTTCTTAATATCCAGTCTTTTGGAACTTGAATTTCCCATTGGCAATTTTGTCAATTAGGATGGAGAAGATCCTTTTAAGTTCCCTGCTAAGTAATTTCTAAAATTTAATTTGTTTGGAAATGCTTATTCATAAATATATTTGTATGAGTGAATGCATGTGTATTATTCCTCTGCATAGCTAAAGATAGTTGAGATTGAGAGGTAATATGAAATTATGTAAATCAGGGGTTCTTAATCTAAGTGATGGGGAGAACACACCTTTCATAGGGTATGCTTTGTCAAATCATGTGCTACCCTACAGCTGTTTTTCTGGAGATTCTGGTAATACTTTTTCCAGATGAAAATCACTGACGGTACTGACGGAAGTGTGTTGTGCACATGAGTGGTATAGAGGCAGAAAATGTTGAGTAACCAGTGATATAAAATAACTTCAATTATCATACTAAGCGTTTGCATGCCAGAGGTAGGTAGTACAGAACAGTGAGAATTAGTGTGGCATATGGTTAAAAGCACAGGGTTTGGAGACAAAGTGCCTGGGTTCAGATCTTGACTCTACCACTTACTAGCTGTGTGACCTTAGGCAAGTTACTTAACCCTTTGGAACATCAGTACTCTCATCTGTACAATGGGGCTAACACCACCTCCTTTGTGGAGTTGTATTAGATTATAACAGTTGCTGGCCCATAGTAAGCACTGTGTAATTGTTACCTATTAGTAATTATCATCTATTGAACACTTCTTACCGCGTGGCAAATCCTGTGAATGTGTCTGTATATTTTAGTTCTAGTCCTTCTGTCAACCTCATGAAGTAGATATACTTACTGTTTTACAGAGTTAGAAACTTTGAGTAACTTTTCCAAGGTCACATAGTAAGTGGCAGATCCAGAATTCTTACATGGAAGTGTTTGCTTGCTTATTCTACTATGTCACCCTTCTCTTCAGAGTGCGGAAATTGGCACAGTCTCTGACCTGAAATGCCACAGTGGTTTGGAGTCCTTTTTGGAGAGTTAGTGATAGCAAAGCTTCTAGGAAATTCATGGGGTGGGTCTCAAGGCTGATACATTAGACAGTCATTAGGCACCTTCTAGTAGTAGAGCAATCAGGCATGGTGTCATCATTTCAGAAATTGTCAAGCTGATACCAGTCACCAATACCCTGAAGAAGTGTTTGATGCTCCCCTTTGTTAGAAAATTAGAATTTAGTCTGGCTCTTTATTTTTCATTCCTAGAAACGACTACAGAAATGATCAGCGCAACCGACCATACTGATGACTGTTTTGAATGTTCTTTTGTTTCTGGCATGATCCATAGTGAAATTGCCAGAGTTTTGCCTGCTGCTTTCCTCGTGGCCTCTTCTTAGGTAGTGAAATTAATTGACATTTGGAATTTTATTTGGGTGGGAGGGCTGGGACAGTTTTTCTTTTAGAAATGTCTGTTGAAATTTCCCACTGTAGTTTCCAACTTTCTCCTTCCCAACCCCTAAAGCTAAGTGCGTTGTAAAATATTGCCAAAATGGAAAGTGTTTTGTAATACTGCAATAAAGGCTGCTTGTTTTGTGGACTTTTGTATATTAGTGCATTGCTGTCAAACTCAGGATTCAGTTTCAGCAGATTCTAATGCTAAAGAATTAGGAAATGAATTCTATTTCATTAAATTAAAATGTTACTTTCAACAATTGAACTTCTACTCTGTTTAGAATAGTAGTTTCTAAGAATGACTGCATGTCAGAATCACCTGAAATGTTTGTCAAGATTGCAGATTCCTAGGCCTCATCCCAGGTCTTTTGGATCAGAACTTGGTGGAGGTGTGTGGCGGTAGAACTGGGAATCTATTTATGTCAGGCTCACTGGGTGATTTTGATATAGTCAATTTAGTTCCTGTTTACAATTGAGAACGATTTATTTAGGGCAGTGTTCTAGATGCTGGGAATATGGAAATCTAAGGGCTAGGTAGGGTGAGTAAGGATTCTATAAGTTAGGGTTAAGATAGCAGTGTACATGGTGTGTTTGTTGTTCATTAAAGAACTATTTTTCCTACCTTTACCAAGAGCCTAGGACAGGCACTGCACCAGATGCCGAATATGTTTCCCATCAAGCAAACACAACATATAGTCTGATAAAGTGGTCCAATAAGAATAAATACAGGATGCTTTGGAGGACTGCTTTAAAGGACACTTAATTCAGTTGTGGGATCAGGAAGGCCTGGTGAGTCTTGAGGGACGAGTAGGACTTGGCCAAGTAAAGAGGCTGGGGTGAGGAAATGGTGTTCCCAGCAGAAAACTAATGACATGAACAAATAAATTGGGAGTTAAGAGAAGGTGAGGAACAGGCTCTGCTTGAGGAGACGTGTTATATAATGCATTGTGATTGGAGGGAGGAGTTTAAAGATGGACATGCAAAAGATAAAGCTGGAGAGGTAAACAAGCTCTATGATAAGGTCCTTGCCTTTCATTTTTCCCCTGCCTCCAAATAGGGAGTGATTGAAAGATTTTAAGCAGGGGAGTGGCCTGACCTGAGTGGCATCAACTGAGAGATGATTATGGCTGCCTTGTGGAGAGGCCATCCAGGAGACAGAATGGTACACTGATGAGAGATGATACTGGTCTGAGCTCAGATAGTGACTGGATGAGGAGGAGATAACTAAATAGATTTGAGAAATGATGAGGGAAATCTGACAGGATTTGGCTGGGTGTCAGAAATAGCCGGGAGGGAAGAGTCAGGTTTCTGGCCTGGGCAGCTGAGTAGATGTGCTGTTCATTGAAACAGGAAACACTAGGAAAGGAACAGATTTGGGGGCAAGATGAGGGGAATGGATTGTTTTGGGTATGTTGAGTGTGGGGCACTTGTGTAGACATCCAGTAGGCAGCTGGATGTGTTAATATGCAGCTCAGAAAACGCATTCAACATTATGCTCCCCTGATTTTCTTCCTTCTGTCTTTGCTAACTTCTCTTGACCTTTACATGTTCGAAGTTTCTCAGAACTTGTTCTGATCCTTGTTCTCTTCATTTATACTCACTTTATCCTCGACAAACTTATTGCTTTAAATACCATCCAAATGGTGATGACTACCAAATTTATAACTCTGGATTATATCCAGCTGCCTACTTGACCTTTCTACTTGGATGGACTGAACAGAACTTTGGTTTTTTTGGGGGTTTTTTTGTGACTGCCTTGACTGAACAGAACTTTTGCTGTCTCCCTCCAAATGAGTTTCTCTCTTCCTAGTTTTTCTCATCTCAGTTAATGCTTTTACTCAGATCAGATAAAAAACTTAGAACTTAAAATTGATTTCTCTTACATTCATTCTGTACCTGCAGGTTCTTTTAATTCTACCTCCAAAATATTGGGTTGCGGAAAAGTCATGACATATTTTTCCTATGTTTTTCTTTGCAAAAATGCATCATGACTTTTCCGACAACCCAGTATATCTTGAAACCATCTTTGTATTCTTGGTTACAATCCTGATAAGAGCTACAGCCATCTTTCTTCTGGATAATTGCAGTAGCCCTACACAATCTTGCCCCTCCAAAATCTATTTTTCGTACAGCAGTCAAATGATATTATAAAGATGTAAATCAGACCATATGTCATACCTCTTTAAAACCCTTTCAGTTGCATATAGGCTATAAATTCCTTACTCTGGCTTACGAAGTCCTACAGGATCTGGCCTGTCTACCTCTCCAACTTCATTATATAACATTTGTCCATACTTACCTTTCTTTACACATTGGTCATAATTCTTTTCCATTTTTAAATTTATTTTTCAATTACAGTTGACATACAATGTTATTTTAGTTTCAGGTGTACAACATAGTGTTAGACATTTATATAAATCACAAAGTGATCACCGATAAATCTAGTACCTATCTGAAACCATACAATTATTATAATATTGACTATATTTCTTATGCTATACTTTACATCCTCATGACTGTTTTGTAACTACCAATTTGTGCTTAATCCCATCCCCTTTTTTATTCATCTCCCTAACCTCCCTCCCATCTGACAACCCTTAAAATGTTCTGTATGACTTTGTTTCTGTTTCGTTTGTTTATTTTGTTCTTTAGATTCCACATATAAGTGAAATCAAGTCATTTGTCTTTCTGTTTGACTTAACTCCACTCAGTACAATACCCTTTAGGTGCACCCATGTTGTTGCAGATGGCAAGATTTTATTCTTTTTTATGGCTGAGCATTCCAGTGTATATGTGTACCTTCTCCTCTTTATTCATCCATTGATGGACACCCAGGTTGCCTCCATGTCTTGGCTATTGTAAATTAGGCTGTAATGAACATATAGATGCATATGTTCCTTTGAGTATTTTTTGGGTTTCTTCAGATAAATACCCAGAAGTAGAATTACTGGGTCCTTTGTGCCTTGTTATATATAGTCTTTGTTTTAAAGTCTGATTTGTCTGGTGTAAGTATTGCTATCCCAGCTTTTTTTTTTTTTTTTTCCATTTTCATGAAATATCTTTTCCCTTTGCTTTCAATCTGTGTGTCTTTTGATCTGAAGTGAGTCTCTTGTAGGCAGCATCTGTACGGATCTTGTTTTCTTATCCATTCAGCCACCCCATGTCTTGCATTTAATTCATTTACATTTAAAGTAATGGTTATATGTAGTTATTGCCATTGTATTAATATTTTTTATCTTTTTTTCCTTCTTAAAGAAGTCCTTTTAACATTTCTTGTAATACTGCTTTGGTGGTAATGAACTTTAGCTTTTTCTTGTTTGGGAAGCTTTTTATCTTACCTTTGATTTTTTTTTTTTTTCCCCACCTGTGATTCTAAATGATAGCTTTGCTGGGTAGAGTAATCTTGGTTGTAGGTCATTGCTTTTCATTACTTTGAATATTTCATGCCAATTCCTTTGGCCTACAAAGTTTCTGTTGAGAAATCAGCTGATAGGCTTATGGGAACTCCCGTAGGTAAGTAACGTAACTGCTTTTCTCTTGCTGCTTTAAGTACTCTCCCTTTGTCTTTAAGCTTTGGCATTTTAATTATGATGTGTCTTGGTGTGCATCTCTTTGGGTTCTTTTTGTTTGGTACTCTGCACTTCCTGGGCTTGTATGTCTATTTCCTTTGCCAGATTATGAAATTTTTTCATCATTATTTCTTTTTTTTTTTTTCTTTTTTTTTTTTTTT